CCCAGGTGCCAGCCCCTCAGGTGGGGTGGGAGAGATGCTGTCCCCACCGCCTTGGCTGCGAGCGCTGAGCTGGGGTGACATGGTGGGTGACTCATCGATGTACGGCATGGTCTCCGAGCCCTCAGGGGGCCCCTTCTGCTCCTCATGCCCCTCTGCGTCGTAGTCGTCGGCTCCGTAGCTGAAGTCTGAGACAAGGAATAAGAAAGGCCACTGAGAGTCCTCCACCAGGGCTGCCAGGGACTGGTAGCGCAGTGGGCGCCGGCGGCGGCCCCCAGCTGCCATGGCCCTGGCAACACCATGCACTCCTGGCTGGGGCAGGGATTGTGCAGGTCAGGCCCAAGGAGGGGCTGAGAGCTCCAGCAGGCACAGCTCTGAGTGCTCTGTTCACTCCGGTCAGAGGCTGCTTGCTGGGAGCCTGGGAGGAGCGGCTGGGCTGTCACCACCCGCCTAATAGCATGTCAGCCAGTCGAGTACTTGGAGCTGCTGTTTCCTTTGCCTACTGCCTAATTCCACGTCTAAAAATTAACAGTGGGATCGGGAGGCAGGACGCTTCCAACTCTCCTCTCTGAGTCACCATTTTGCTTTTTATAGGGAATAAGGAGGTGGGGGTGGGCCAAGCCATGTCACTCCCTCGGCCCCTCCTCCTTGGGTACCATTTGTACACTTAGCCCAGTCCCACTGGGGGAGGGGGAACCTAGGGCTGGTTTGGGGGTGGGAGGTGGGGAAAAAGGTCCCCATGGGGGGGTCCCTCATCTCTCCGTATGAGGCCCTAAGTGCAGGACAGAGCCTAGGCAGGCAGGCGTAGGCGAGAGGCAGTGCTCAGGCCTCACAGGGACCTGGTAAGCAACAGACTCCTCAAAAGCTGCACTTGTGTGTGTCTATAATTCCAAAGCTGGGTTCCTTTAGGGAAGGAGGGAAGGAAGGCAGCAGGAAGTCAGGCTATGTTAACCCCCTCTGTGCTGTCAACACTCAGACTCCAGTGCCCACTCAGATACCCCCTGCTGGGGACAGCAGGCCAGACCAACAGGGGACAGGGCAGGACCTCAGGGCTCTGCACTGAAAATGGCTACAGGAACAGCCTCATAAAGGCCCCAGTATCACACCCTGCTGGTGGGGGTCTCTCCTGCAGTACTGTGAGGAACCTCCCACTGCCCACTCAGGCTCATTTGGCCCACTGCTTCCTCCAGCTCATGCCAGGCACAACCCTGATGAAGAGAGCCCTGCCAGGATACTAGTTCTAAAGGAGTTTCCTGAGCTGGGACTACTTGGAACAAGGGACATTAATCTCTTAAGTCATCGCCAGTCAGGGACCGACAGCACAAGCTTTGAAATCAACAGGAACCAAGTGCATCCCAGGTAGGACACAAAGAGAATAGTACCAGTCCTCCTGGCTTAAGGCAGCCTTGGGGCCAGTGGTGGACTGTCTTGCACATTGCTAGGTACTGTACCTGAGCACCTTCTAGATGGGAGGTATAGGCCTTGCCTGCCTAGGAGTATCCCCAGTATGGTAGAGGAGTCTGGCTGGACTTTTTCAGACATCCTTTCCTCCAGGATGTCTTCCAGCTCATAACACATGGCCTCCTGGTGCTCCTTTTGATCCTGGGGCAAGAACTGAGTGGCCACGGATGGGGGCTCAGCCCTCTTAGGTCGACATGAGGCAGGCAAGCTCTAGGTAGTAGGTGTGGTGAGAAAGAATGAGCAGAGGAATTCACCATTCATCTCAGGTCTGGGCTTTGCACTTTCCCGCCAGAGCCCCAGCTCCTCCTCCTCTGTTACAACACACCAGCCCATGAGCCGAGCCACCAACAGCCTGAGAATGGTGTCAGCGGGTCAGTGGGGCGCCTGGCCATGGCCACACTCAGTCAATCTGGCCCTTTGGCAGCCAACAGCTTCCCCCAGGCTTGCTGCACCTGTTCCTACTGACTTCTGCTCCTGAGCTCTAGACTGATACCTATTAGACTGCCTGGGGATACAGGCTGTTTTTCCCAGGACATCCTAGTGATAGACAAGCTAGCCTCTAAGAAACATTCATGCCCATGCACCCAGGAAAAAGACTCCTAGCCCTGAAGGCCATGAGGCCCTGTGTCCACAGCTAGCAGGAAGTAAGCTGACTTGGTATTTCCCTGAGACAGGAGGAAGGACACACAACTTGCCATGTGCAGAGTCTGGCTTAGGGATGGCTTGGTTTTCAGGCAGGTCCTCCCTGAAGCAGGCATAGGAGGAACTTGAGACATCATGTTGATCAGGAGGCTTCAGGCTGTAAAGCCAAGGTTGGAGCCAGGAGCCATGATGGACCCTGGCCAGTCTACAGTTCAGGTTCCAGCAGGCTGATGTTTCCAGGGGTCATGGGAACAGAGCCCATACTTTCCAGGTATTTCCCAAGGGCAGGCTTCATGGAAGGAACAAGGAAGGCAGCCTAGCTCACCTCCCCCACGCAGCCTGGTGTCCCTACTACCTCATGGTCATAATGTCTCTGCCAGTCTTTCCTCAGCATGCACAATTCATCAGAGACGAATGGACCATGGCCCCCAATGTCTCCTGCTCCTCTCAACCCAGCCACACTTTTGTGAAATGTTTTTACTGTCCCCAGTTCACAGACAAGGTCACCAAGTCTCAGGCAGTTGGCTAAGGGCTCAGAAAACACCTACACCCAGGTCCCTTTGTCAAACTTTCCAAGGACCATCCTTTCCCCTCTGAATCGCACTCCAAAGAAATCCCTTCCTTGGTCCAGATAGCAGAGGCTGATTGTACAGGAGAGCAAGGAAGTGCTTCAGGATGAGATGCAGTTAGTCCTCATTCCAAAAAAATTTCAAGAGCCAACCAGGCTCCAAGGGCTCACACCTGGAATCCTAATTACTCAGGAGATTGAGATCTGAGGATCATGGTTCGAAGCCAGCCCAGGCAGGTTAAGTATGTGAGACTCTTATCTCCAATTAATCACAGGAAAAAAAAAACCCACAGAAGTTGTACTGTAGCTCAAGTGGTAGAATGCTAACCTTAAACAAAAGGAGCTTAGGGATAGAGCTCAAGCCCAGAGTTCAAGGCCCAGGACATGGTGGGGATGGGGGAGAACATGGAATTCCCCAGAGCTAGGATAAAGGATCCAGAAAAATCCAGGGAAAGCAACACTCTAAGAAGGAGGAGCCCCAGGACAGATGGAGACCTTCAAGACATAGGGATTTAGTCTAAGAAGGTCACAGATAACAAAAGTGCTTAGGCCGTGGCTTGGACACCAGTACTCTAAAAGAAGGCGGCAGATGAAGCTGCTGACAGCAATTCCCTTTGTGGTAACAGAAGTTCCATTGTACTTGGAGTGGTAGTGTGCCTAGTGGGTAAAGACTTTTCCTAGTGGTATGTGACATGTGGCTAAGACCTTGCCAAGGATATGTTAGGTGGGCATACATGGGACTTTGATGAAGACTATTAAAACATATACAACTCCATCCCCTCGTCTTTACTATTCCTCCTCCAGTTGCCAGTTTTCAACACAGGTGGGATAGCCAAAGCTGTAGTAATCCTATTGAAGAGAAGGAATGCTAGGAATGTAACCCACTGGTGGCATTCTCACTCTGGGATGGTCTTCCTCTGGGAGGGAGGGGGGGGTGAGGGGTATTGCTGCTGGTCACTGGTGGCTAACACCTGAAATACAAGCTACTCAGGAGGTTGAGACTTGAGAAGCCAGGTTCAAAGCCAACCCAGGCAGCCATTCTGAGACTCTTACCTCAAATTAACCACCAAAAATGTCAGAAGTGGAGTTGTGATTCAAGTGGTATTCAACAACCTTGGGTGAAAAAACTAAGGAAATAGTGCCAAGGCCCTGAGTTCAAACCTTGTACCAACACACAAACACACATAAGATAGTAAGTAAGAAATAAATAACAACAACAACAAAACGATGGTATCTAAACCACTTAGGGTTGTTTTTTTTTTTTTTACTCCCCCCCCCCATCATGGGGGCTTGCACTCTGGGTCTGAGCTCTGTCCCTCAGCTCTTCAGCTCAAGGCTAGTGCTCTACCACTTGAGCCACAGCGCCACTTCCAGTTTTTTCTGTTTATGTGGTGCTGAGGAATTGAACTCAGGGCCTCATGCATTCGAGGCAAGCACTCTACCACTGAGCCACCTTCCCAGCCCCTCCCCCTCTTTTTAATGCCAGTCTTTGGGCTTGAGCTCAAGCTTTTGTTCAAGACTAGTGCTCTACCATTTGAGCCACAACTCTATTTGTGGCCATTCTTAGGTTGTTCCTACCCTTTTTATTGTTCCTTTCTAATCTCTTGGTGAGATTTTTCATTGCCCACTTCTTAAAAATAGGTATTCTTTATAGATTCTTACAATATGCTATCATATAACAAGAAAAACACATGACTCTCAGCAATATTACCCCAAGGGAAAGAACGTGGGTATACTTTCACTCATATGAAATTCTAAATTAAAATAAAGAAAAAGAAAATAAAAATGTACAGTGGTTGCCTCTGGGGACAGGGGGAAGATAGGAGCTGACTATAGCGGGCACAGGGAACTTTCTGGGCTGACAGAGTGTTCTGTATTTTGACAAGAATTTGGAGCACACAGGTGAATATGTTCATCACAGTTGATCAACTGACACAGTAGAGATTTGTGCAGTCACTACCTACTGAACTCTAGTTAATGACATGCTGAAGCATGCTGATGTCAGCAACTATGAAATATATAAAAAAAGAACACGGAACAGGGATGGATAGACGTAAAATCAAACTGTAGGAAAATGATAATTATAGACTTGACATAGTAGCTAACTGGAGCTTCTCTGTGTAGTTCTTTCAACTTTTCTCCACGTTGGATGTTTTGATTTAAAAAAAAAACTGGCTTCTGTCACCACTCCTTGGCTTCCCCTCCCAAGTTTTATGTACACTCCAGGGAGAGGTCTGGGCTGCAAGTCTGTCTCCAATTGTTTCCTGGACCTATCCCCTGCTACCCCACCCTCAAACCTAACCTTTTCCTGCAGTTAAAATGCAAGATCAAGTCAAGCACCAGCGGCTTACATCTATAATCCTAGCTACTCAGGGGGCTAAGATCTGAGGATCACGGTTCAAAGCCAGCCCAGATAGGAAAGTCTGTGAAACTCTTATCTCCAATAAACCACTAGAAAACCAGAAGTATCTCAAGTGGTAGAGTATTAGCCTTGAGCTGAAGAGCTCAGGGACAGCA